TCTCCTTTCTTCCTTTTTTCATTCTTTACTCCTTCCTTTTCTCCAACTCTTCCTTCCTTGTTTTTCCTCTCCTCTCATTCCTTCCTTCCTTCCTTTCGTTTCTACTTCCTTTCCTTTTTTTCATTCTTTACTCCTTCCTTCCCTTTTCCCAACCTTCCCTCCCTCCCTCCCTCCCCTTTCTTCTCTCCAAGCCCCCCCCCCAATGTTACAGGCCCCCCTCTGGCTGGGAAGGAGGGGATCTGTAGTCCAGACCTTGTGGAAGGCACCTGAAAGGATGGGCTAGGAGTAGAATCCTTCCCTGCTGGAGACAAAGAGTCGGTTCTTGAATGGATGCCTGGCTCTCTTCTTAGATTCCGCGGCTGCGTTGCTATGTACATCTCCTTCGCCTAGCAACCGGGCAGGCATTCTGGCTTTTAAAGAGCCCCTGTTCCAGTTCCTTTTTTTCCCCCTCCTCCCTTTCCTGAAGGGCCTGAAGGTCTGCCATGGCACCCAAAAAAAGGGGGCGCAAAAAAGAGACCCCCAAAGAGCCAGAGGTGGATGAGAATATCGTGCCAGAACACAGCCGAGAATTTTATCTCATCCAGATCCGAGATTTGGAGGGACGCCTGGCCCGGTGAGTCGGGGTGGGTGGGTGATGGTGAGGCAGGCTTGGCAGGCAGGGAACCTTGACATATTTTTTTCCCCTTTTTTAAAATTTTGGATCTGGAGCAGGCTGGGCTTTGCTTCTGCTCCCAAGTCTCTCTTTTTTCCAAGTCGCTGCCGAAAAACAGAATTGGGTAAAATCACAAGCGAATAAAAAAAAAATATCGGGATTTTTTCTAGCTTGTCATCCCATCCTGGGCCAGATAAATGACTAGAACAGAATAACCGAGTTGGAAAAGGGATCTTGGAGGTCTTGTAGTCCAACCCCACCCCACACCCCACCTTCTCAGCCAAGAAACCCTACCGGATCCCGTTTTGGACAGACGGATGTCCAAATGAGAGCTTGGCAAACATTTGGCATAGACACCCCACTGCATTTTGGGGGTTCCTTTTTCCTCCCCTTCAGTTTTCTGGCTGAGGATTTGTTCCCTGGTGGGTTGAAATTCCCGAGTTTGGTACCCGTTCAAGAATTCTACCGGTTGCCCCAAAGCCCTTGGTGCAAAATCACAGATTTTAAGCTGCTTGAAGGAATCGCACTACTCAGGGTTTCTTTTCAAGTTGCAATTCCACAACACTCTTGACTCCCAGAATTCTCCACAACGCCGGCAAGGGCTGCGGGGATTGCGGGAGTAGAGATCCACACCTCTGGAAGGACTTCTGGTGTTTTAAAACAGGGAGTCCTCAGTGTCAGGATTCCAGCAATTGCCCTAATTAAATCATGATTCTCGAGCCAAACTTCTAAAAACTTCAAAGGATTTATTCTCGTTGCGGTTGTTAAGTGAATTTCCGTGGTTTTTTCCACTAGCAACATGGCTGTTAAATGAATCTTAGTATTTCTCCCATGGCCTTTGCTGGTTAGAAGGTTGCAAAACGGGAATCCGCGTGATCCCGGGACACTGCAAACTGTCGTAAATACGAGTCGGTTGCCAAGTGCCCAAATTTTGATCATGTGACCATGGGGGGGGGAATGTGTTCTGACCCACTCCCTTTTCCAACAAATCCAACACAACTCAAAAGGAACAGAAACCTTGTAATGGTTTTACAAAATAATTAAACCCTAACCCTAACCCCAAATTGTGCGAGACTTGCCAAAAGATAACAGACAAGAAATAATTTTCAAAATAAGAATCTTCAAATAGAAACTCAGGATACTAGAATGTCCATGAGGCTGGAGTTTCAAAACGTCTTTGCCTTCTGCAAAGTATGTTCGTTACACAGCTGGCTTTTATCTTCTTGAAGGAGGGGCCATTATCCTGCAGCCTTACTCCCGAATCGCCCGTGCTGTTGTAGCTGCTCTTTCCTCCGAGCAATCCTGCGCGCATGCGCACTTGGCACAGGCTCCTCGGGAACCTCCTCATCGCTGCTGCCAGCCCCCACAATCTCTGAAGGCAGCAGTCCACTCCCTAATGGTCCAGACTCCTCATCTGAGTCCTCGCTCTCCTCAGCCGTCTGCACCTGCTGCAGGCTAACCACAACAGAATGTTGCAACGGTCATAAGTGTGAAAAATGTTCCTAAGTCGCTCTTTCTAGTGCCGTTGCAATGCCAAACGGTCACTAAATGAACTCTTGTAAGTTGAGAACTATCTGTGCTTATGACCGCTACAGATTCCTCCTAGTCAGGTGATCAAAATTTGGCCGCTCGGCCACTGACTCATATTTATGATGGCTTCCCAATGTCCCGGGGGTGTGTGTGTGTGTCAAGTGTGATCCCTTTTTTTCAACCTTCGGACACGCAAAGTCCCAACTGGCCCTGCCTCGCTTAGCAACGGAAATATTTTTGGGGGGTGTCCATTGTGGTCATAAGTCGAGACTGATTGATTTGGGGGCCCCGCCCCGGGACCGGCGGGGGGGGGGCGGGGCGTTGACATCTTGCTAGGTACCAGCAGAAATGGGACCAGTTGCAGGTAAGCGAAGAACTTTTCCGGAACGAATACGAGAAAATGTTGACCGACAACAAGGAGATTGTGGCCTTCCTGAAGAAGACACTCAACCAACGGGTGGATGAGATCGCGGAGCTGAGCCTTCAGTTTCAGAACCTCCAGCAGGCCAAAGACTTGGAGAAGGACGCGTTCGAAACCCAGCTGGTCCAACTGAGGCATGAATTCCAAGAAACCAAGGATCAGCTGACCTCGGAGAACATGCTGCTGAGTAAGCCAGATTGGCGGGCAATTCTTTAATGATAGTAACACTAACAACAATAATAATAGCAGCAGCAGCAGTGGCCCCTTAGACTGACATACCGCTTCACAGCTCTCTCTGAGCGGTTTACAGTCGTCAACAATCTGGGGTCCTCGTTTGACGGACCTCGGAAGGACAGAAGGCTGAGTCAACCGTAAGCTGGTCAGGATCGAGCTGCTGGCAATGGGCAGAGTTAGGCTGCAATACTGCATTCTAATCACTGCGCAACCATAGCAGACAGACAGATAGGTAGAGATAGGAAAGTAGGTTAGGTAGGTATAGATAGATGGATAGATAGATGGATGGATAGGTAGGTAGGTAGGTAGGTAGGTAGATAGATAGATAGATAGATAGATAGATAGATAGATAGATAGATAGATAGATAGATAGATAGAT